ATCCATCCATCCATCCATCCATCCATCCATCCATCCATCCATCCATCCATCCATCCATCCATCCATCCATCCATCCATCCATCCATCCATCCATACTGACTATATAGAAGGAAATGTCTTTTTTATAAGCATCATATCATAAGAAAGTCCTAAAAACAATGGAGAAACTTGTTTTTACTCTGGCAGGAACATAATAAGAGCTAAAAGAATATTAATTCACTGCAAGAATAATAAGGTAATACAAAATGCTGTTTTGTACAAATAGTCACCATTTTAAAATGAAGAATTGGCAAGAGCCTATAGGACCTAACATTAATACATTTGTCAGGAAAAAACATTTGAGACAGGAAACTGAGGTTAGGCAACTGTTATCATAACAACCCTCACATATACATCCTGTAAAGTCCAAACTTTTCATGCTGCCTGTTAAAACTGCACACACACAGATGTAGAAAGTTTCATGTTGTGCAAAAAAGTGATTATTTGGATTAACACACACAGGTATATTTATCACAGACTGCTGAAGGCAAGGACAATAATGCTTCTGTACACATCCTATGCCCAACCCTATTTGTCTGTTGGCAAAATATCTCATGAGCTAGGTGAAGGATAATGTTGAAGTGCTGAAAAAGTAATCATTGAATGCACACAACTGAAAAACTTTTGGAGTCAACACAATTCAAAACTGAACTTTCTCTTACTAAATAAATAAATAAATAAATAAATAAATAAATAAATAAATAAATAAATGAAAAATCATTTACTTTTGTAAAATTATTCAGGAGATTTTGGGGTTAAAATACATTGTAATGCTTTTACTGTGATTTATTTAACGTTCCTGTTTTTTTTTGTATTCACTCACTTTGTGTTCAACGTCACTTCAACAATAAAGAAAAGGCATATTTCCCTCTATTTTTTCCCAACAGTAACAAATATTTTACATTTTTAGGATGTGTTATATGTGCAATTTGCATTTTTTTTTTGTGAAATTTTAGACGTTTAATTCATTTTGGGAGCAACATTAACTTAAAATTTTATTTCTCAGGTGTCATTGAGGCATCGAGCCCCTCACTGCTGGACCTACCTGAGATAAACACAACCTTGTCTCCAGTGTTCAGCAGCACAGAGGAGCCTCCAGGCAACGGCTCCATAGGTTTCTTTATCTCCTCTGAGACCAGCGTGACTGCAGCTCTGATTAACACAAGTTCTGTCACTTCTGATTCATCACATGCTCCACTGGGGACGACTTCAACGCTGAATACCAGCATGGACTCAGCTGCATATTCACCTCTGCCAACAACCACATGCCGTAAGAAATGCCCTGTTTTTACAAAGCTGCACAGAATCAACACATTTAGAAAATCAAACCGAAGTAGAAGGTGTAGGATGCAAATAGAAAATTATTACAGTTTGAGGAAGAACGTGTGTTATTTCAAATTTCTAAATTCAGATCGTTGTAGATACTAAAATTAGTATAAGGCCACCCTCTTTCAACTTAGGGCGGTAAGTAAGTAAGTAAAGCTTATTTATATGCAGAAATTAAAATGTATAAACTGCTCAGACTTGTAATGTGTGGTTTATAACAAAGCAAATAAGCATAGTTACTGTATTTATTAAAACTGTCAGTAAAGATGAATAAACCTTTCTCTCCCCTCCACTCCCCCCAGCTTTTCCCACTATCAGACGACTGTGGTCTGTGAATGTGACTGGAACCTCCATGTCTGTCTGCTGGTCAAGCGAGTTTCAGACAAACCAGACTTTCCAGATTGCTCTGATCAAGGCGTCGGAGGTCATTTATATTTGGCAAACCAGTAGGACCATGGTAGAGATGACAGATCTGGAGCCTGGAGGACTTTACAATGTTACTGTCACACCTTGGGCTTGTGGAAGGCAGGGCCAAGCTCTTCATATATTGGTCAGGACAGGTAAGAACTGATTGCGGCTGCAAATATGGAATGCTTGATTGTATTAACAGTGTAAAATCTTTAAATCAATCAAACTTAACTAAAATGCAGATACTTTTTAACATTTTTGTTAGAAAGAACACTTTATTGTGAATATTTATTGCATAATTTAAAAACACACAAGGTGATTTAAAGAGAACAATAACATAAATTTATGATGAAGAAAACATCAATTTTATTAGGAATGCATTGGCTTAGTAAAAAAAAATCCTGAGGCTTTTGTACCAAACAGCTTTTCTTTTTAGTTGCTCAGACTCTTGACGCCACAACTCGACTTACCAACATCCAGTTCACTGCAGATCTGAGGGACACCAGCAGCCAGGCCTACAAAAACCTCACAGACAGTTTCCTACAGGAGGTTGGTGTGTTTGATATTATCTCGTGATGAATATGTGATATTTGATTATGTATATAAGGAAGTATGTATGTGTGTATATGTGTGTGTATATACAGTATATACCCCTAATATATATATATGGAGACCGTGTGTCAAAGTTATTCTTCCGTTTTAATCTTCCGACCCTGTTCAAAATAAATACACA